CTTCTAATTGGAGAGCTAGGAACTACAGAATACTGGGGTGCCATGACGAGGCTCTGTAGCTTACACATGTATTTGCAAATGTGTGCTAACTGAACCCCTGTTTTTAACGCATACTGTTAGACAGGTTAATTCGGTTTGTTTGCAGGCTGGCTGGCAAGTTGAGCTCGGAATTTTTCTTTTTTGTTTGACATGCATCGCTCTTCCATGTGCTCCTTGCTGTGAAGGCCAGTTATAGACTGGGGCAGTGGCCATTTGTTGTACTGTCGAATCATTGGTCGAGGGGGCACACTGGACACCTTGGCTGCCATTGTGCTACATGCTGGGTGTCCAGTGCGCTCCTTTACCTTTTAAGGAGGGGTGGGCTTCCTCAGGTCTATCCAAAAAAAATACATGTGCCTCTACTATGGGGGCTCTCAAAATTGGCGAGTTGGGAACTACAGAATACTGGGGTGCCGTGACGAGGCTCTGTAGCTTACTCATGTATTTGCAAATGTGTGCTAACTGAACCCCTGTTTTTAACGCATACTGTTACACAGGTTAATTCGGTTGTTTGCAGGCTGGCTGGCAAGTTGAGCTCGGAATTTTTCTTTTTTGTTTGACATGCATCGCTCTTCCATGTGCTCCTTGCTGTGAAGGCCAGTTATAGACTGGGGGCAGTGGCCATTTGTTGTACTGTCGAATCATTGGTCGAGGGGGCACACTGGACACCTTGGCTGCCATTGTGCTACATGCTGGGTGTCCAGTGCGCTCCTTTACCTTTTAAGGAGGGGTGGGCTTCCTCAGGTCTATCCAAAAAAAAATACATGTGCCTCTACTATGGGGGCTCTCAAAATTGGCGAGTTGGGAACTACAGAATACTGGGGTGCCGTGACGAGGCTCTGTAGCTTACTCATGTATTTGCAAATGTGTGCTAACTGAACCCCTGTTTTTAACGCATACTGTTACACAGGTTAATTCGGTTTGTTTGCAGGCTGGCTGGCAAGTTAGAGCTGGGAATTTTTCTTTTTTTTTTGTTGTTTGACATGTGTCGCCCTTCCATGTGCTCCTTGCTGTGAAGGTCAGTTATAGACTGGGGCAGTGGCCATTTTTTGTACTGTTGAATTTTTAGATGCTGAGACCTGCCTTCCCATAGGGATTAAATTGGTTTGATTTTTCTCCCATCCCATGACAGAGGAAAAGTTTGGATTAGACACGGATGTCACACACATGACATCTGTCTCAAATCTGTTCAGACTCAGCAGGGCATCAATCTCGGATGCCCTGCTGGGATGGAGCGGATAGCAGACATGTAAAAGGGTCATAACGTGTTTTTAAAAACCAACATTTTTGATCAGCTTAATTAACCAATATGTGGTATCACCAAACCCTCTGCTTCTATTGATAGCAAGCACGGTTGTTCTGTTTCAAATGCTGCTTTAGGCTTTGACATACCTGTTTAAAAAACCTATTCTATCCAGAAAGTATGGTCACCTGTTGACTTGGCACCATCCACAGGTAGCTAAAAGTGGTTGTAAAGGTATGAAGGTAAAAAGCCTTCTCTGTGCAGCTCCCCCCCCAGCCCCCCTAATACTCACCTAAGCTCCCTCTAGATCCAGCAATGTGCACGGAAGTCTCGGCAATCCTGAGACTCCCTCTCCTCATTGGCTGAGACAGCAGTCAGTGAGACAATGAGAAGAGAAAGGGTGTGGGGCGGAGCCGTGACTCTGTGTGTGAATGGAAACACGGAGCATCAGGTGCCCCCATAGCAAGCTGCTTGCCGTGGGGGCACCCAACAGGAGGGAGGGGCCAGGAGAGCCTGTGGGGGGCCTGAGAAGAGGAGAATCTGGGCTGCTCTGTGCAAAACTACTGCACACAGCAGGTAAGCATAGACGCCTTTATTGCTTATCCCTTCAGTAAGACAAGTTGGACGCAACCCTATTTTAATTTAGCTAGTTGCAGTACAGAAGATGTTTTCAAGTTTTTTGAAGTGTAAGAGGACAATGACTTTACTAAACCCTACCTCCTCAAAGTACAATCACTGACTGAGGGAACATGAAAGAAACAAGGAAGGTCTAGCTAGCAGTGAACTAACCAGCACTAAACAGGAGGACAGAGGGAGAAACCAAAGTAAACATGTTGTAGTCACCTCCTCTAGGTGTCAGCATAGTACTGAAGAATGATAACCTGATGCAGTTCAACATAACACAGAGGAAGGTTCATGTTAGTGGGACAGAACAACTATAAAGACTGGCAATAAATGCCATCATAAGTGAAAGCTAGCTCATAGTGTGACAGGGCTTCTTTCAACATGGACGTTGTGCATGGGAAGTGTGCATAGCTCTCTATCTTCACTGTACCCACCAGTGTTTGGAAATACAATGACCCTCACCTGACAGCTGCTTTGCTGTATTTCACTGGTATTTTTTGTCTACCATCTGCGCCCCATTATGGGGGGTTCTCTTCACTTCCTATCTTGTAGACACAACAGGAAAGAAAAGGAAATCTCTGCAAAGTGAGGTAATTCCTCCTCTTGGACAGTTCTCTGAGATAAGTGTCCCACTTTGAACATTTCCTCTTCGGTTCTGGTGATGGCTCAAATGGTTTGACTTCCCCTTTAATCCTGATGATAATGGTCTTCAGGACAAATAGAGAGAGTGATTCTCCCTTACGGGGACAGAGACTGTAAAATAAATCTGACAGGTTCTTACCTTTCTCCACTCAATTCAAAACCAAAAACACTTGGCTTTAGATACACTTAGTACAAGAACCCATGAACAGTTGGGTAAGGTGTGGTTGCCTTGAGCAAACATACTCCAGACATTTAGACAGTAGCTCTAAGGCATAGCTAGCCTTTACCCAGCACACATTGTGGTTGCAGCCTTTGCATCCTTCCCGTAATCTCCGACTATTGTAAACATGAAACCGGTGATGTCTTCCTGAAGGCCCTAGTGTTTTCTGTGATCTGGGCTTCCAACTGTTTTTCATCCACTGCCTGTTTATCTGCAAAGCTGATCACACCTGACAAGTCTGGTGACTTCATTGTTCTATTTCTGTCTCAGAAAAAAGTCATACATTACTCACTCCATGCATTGTCTAGGGTCTAGGCTGATTGTTTTCTACTACCCAATGTGCAGATAAACAAGCCAGGATTATGGAGAGTGATTTATATGGAGGCTTGTGTCTACACAGAGAAGGCATGTCCAACTCATAAGTGTACGCCAGAAGTCTCCAAAGGTTTATAAACAAAGGGCCAATTTACTGTCCTTCAAACTTTGGTGGGCCGGACTGTGGCCAGTGGGAAAAGAAAATATCCTAGCATCACTGGGAGTAAACATTGCCCCATCAATGGTATTAGTGAGAGTAATAGTGCCCCATCGTTGATAGCAGTGGGAGATATTGCCCCATCATTGGTGTCAGTGGTCATCATTGGTGGGGCGGAATAGTGCGCTATCACTGGTTTCAATGGGAGGAATAGTGCGCTATCATTGGTGTCAGTGGGAAGACTAGTGCCCCATTGTTGGTTTCAATGGGAGGAATAGTGCGCCATCATTGGTGTCAGTGGGAAGACTAGTGCCCCATCGTTGTTTTCTGTGGGAGAAATAGTGCCCCATCACTGGTGTCAGTGGGAGGGATAGTGCCCCACTGGTGGTATCAATGGGAGGAATAGTGCTCCATTATTGGTGTCAGTGGGAAGAATAGTGCCCATAATTGGTGGCAGGAGCTATGCCAAACTGTTGCTAAAGGTGGGGGGAATAATTCCCCAAGGGCAAGAATAAAGTAAGCAAAATGATGCACTTTGGAGACCATTGGTGTAGGCCAATGCTGTAAGAAAAAAGACTTGGTTTAACATGGGCAATACTTACAGCACTTTAGTGACTAATCTCAAGGCTATCAATAGAAGGGTGCAGGCAGCATACTGGGTCTGGGCATTGCTGCTAATCTGACTGGGCCCATGGCTACCTGTGGGCAACCTCAGTGCAGTGTGATACAGATTCCCAATACAGATTACAATTGTAAAATATTGGATTTTTTCACTCACTTTCTGTTTCAGAGACAGGGGTCACCAGGAGATATAGAAAGAGACAGTCTCCTCAGCGGGTCACAGACCGTATTAGACAGAATTCTAACCCTCTATCTATACAAAACAAAGTGGCTCTGTAGGCAAAACTAAACTTTAACCTAAAGCTGCCCAAAATTCATTTAGTGTAGTATTTTAAATGAATAAATAACAAATAATGCCACTCTGTGCACCCTTAGCCTGAACCAGTGACCCCCAATCCATGCACAACACTAAGGTGACCCACCACCTTCTCACGTCTCATGCACCTTACCAAATTTCTTCAAGTTATAGCCTTGAATATAAACAATCACTGCGACAATTCTGACCGCCATCACTCTTGCCAATACTCCCATTTCCATGTTGGTACATATAATCAAAGCAAAGTAGGCAACCATAGTGTAACAGACCAGATAAATGACTTTATTAAATGTAAAATGTAAAAGTAGAATGATGTGCATCAGCGTTATCATGAAGTTCCTAGCTCTGACCTCTACCAAGATAGCCACTGCTGGATTTCCGGGTAGCGTCTTATAACACTCTGACGCTCTGATGCGTTTCGTCATTACGACAAAGGATCTGTTGACAAAGTCGTATCTTTGCTTTAATTATATGTGCCAACATGGAAATGGAGTATTGGCAAGAGTGATGGTGTTCAGAATCGTTGCAGTGATTGTTTATATATTCAAGGCTATAACTTGAAGAAATTTGGTAAGGTGCATGAGCTGTGAGGTGGTGGGTCACCTTAGTTTTGAGAACGGATTGGTGGTCACTGTTCCAGGCTAAGGGTGTACAGAGTTGCACTATTTGATATTTATTCATTTAACCACCTCCCGCCCGCCATATAGTAATATGACGGGTGCAAGGTGGTTCTCTCATTCTGGGAGGACGTCATATGATGTCCTCCCATTCTCACTGCGCATGCGCGGCTCAGGGAGCGCACAGCTTGGCAATTGGCGGTGCACTGTGTCCCTTGGACACAGCGGATCACCGATCACGGAAAGAGCCGAAGATGTCGGCTTGGTCATGTGAACAGCTGTGTCCAATCACAGCTGATCACATGTAAACAGAGAAATGCTGGTTATCGGCATTTCTCTCCTCTCGAGCTGTCACGCTGACAGCTCGAGAGGAGAGGAGATCCGGTAATCGGCTTTCCGCGGAGGGGACATGTACACTGATCATCAGGGCACTGATGATCAGTGTAGCCCCAGCAGTGCCACCTGTCAGTGTCCATCAGTGCCTTATGTCAGTGCTCATCAGTGCCTCGTGCCAGTGCCCATCAGTGCCACATATCAGTGCCTACCAGTGCACATCAATGCCACATATCAGTGCCCATCTGAGTTGCCTTTCAGTGTCACCCATCAGTGCCATTCAGTGCTACCTATCAATGCCAATCAGTGCCACCTATCCGTGCTGCTAATCAGTGCCAGTCAGTACCGCCTATCAGTGCCAGTCAGTGCCGCCTATCAGTGTGCATCAGTGCTAGTCAGTGCTGCCTATCAGTGCCATATATCAGTGCCATGTATCAGTGATGCCTTTCAGTGCCCATCAGTGATGCCTGTCAAGGCCCATCAGTGCCACCTACCAGTGCCTCCTCATCAGTGCCCATCAGTGCCACCTATCAGTGTCCATCAGTGCAGCCTCATTAGCGCACATCAGTGACGGAGAAAAATCACTTATTTACAAAATTTTATAACAAAAACTAAGAAAAAACATTATTTTTTCAAACTTTTCAGTGGTTTTTGGTTTGTTTAAGAAAAATCCCAGAGGAGATTAAATACCACCAAAATAAAGCTCTATCTGTCACAAAAAAATGATAAAAATTTCATATGGGTACAATGTTTGACCACGCAATTGTCATTCAAAGTGTGACATTGCTGAAAGCTGGAAATTGGCCTGGGCAGGAAGGGGGTAGAAGTGCCCTGTAGGCTAACGGTTAACATACTACGCTATATGAATCTAGTTTTTTTGGAGAGTCATTTATCACATTTATCAGGTTTTACATGTGATTATTGCTAGCGGCTATTATACCCACTAGTAGTAATCACTGTGTTCCCCCGCAGTGGTTGCAGGAAAGAAAATCGCTCCATCTATGGCCTGCTTTAGAATAGAATTCTGTGCCACTAGACTGAGATTAACTCCTGAATCAGCAAAGTCAGCAATAAACAGTACATATGAGCAATAACTACAAGGTGAATTATAATACTATCACTAGTCTAGAGTGCACTCTAGAAGCATGGCTCGGATATGGTGCAATGTCCTCTGAGAGGTACCTCTTAGCATAATCGATAAGTGAAGGACTCTGTGTGACAGCTGCAACGGGACAGTCTTTAGTCACAACTCTTGAGCCTGCTAGCGTTGGGGCCCAGTTGTATCATTGGGGCACACAAACGTACTCTCCCAGTGGAGCTTGCATGCAGCAATAAGGATGCAAGATGTCTGTATGGGCAGTTCCTAAAGGGTTCAGTCTCTTCAGCAGCAGATAGTAACTCCACACAGCAGTAGCTTGCCAGTCCCAGGGATATTGCAGCTCACCATCCTGTCACACAGCGACAAGTCCATTCTCTGCTCTGCACCCAGGTGACTCTGGCTGTCAGCACACCTGGACCTGGATTCTGCTCAGGTCGCCATTATGCAGCAATGATGGTGCCCATTAGACAGAGATGTGCACTCACTGTGCTCCATCGTGGCCAGAGGAAGCTGCATCCTGTACAGTCTAAGAAGATTTTGCACTTTTCCCTCCTCCTGGCAATTTCTCTCTGGGAAATGCAGTCCAAAAGCTCTTGATTACAGTAGAGTCTCCCTCCTCTGGACTACAGTTCCCAAAGTGCAGTGCTGCCTGACACAGCCTATTGAACGCTTCCTGCTCAGGAGCTCACCCCTCTTGTTAACCAGTTCAGCAGCACAGGGTAGCAGCTATAGGGAGCAGCTGCAGCCAGTTTTTCTCTTACTTTCCATTCTTAGCCAAGCGCCTGGATTTATGTACATGTGTTAATGCATGTTATGGTACATGTTAAGGCTCCTTGTATTATGGTAGCTCAGTCATTATGAATGAGCATCCAAGGCAAGACAATGGATAAAAAACATACATGACCCCTATTTAACCCCTTGGCGCAAGCAGTACGCATATGTGCGGCCTTTGGTCTGGTGTGCCTTAACACTGAGCTCCGAAGGGTTTTACCCCCATCATGACCAGTCTATTTTTTTGCTGTTCGGCACGGCGCTGCTTTAACTGGCAATTGTGCGGTCATGCAACACTGTATACAAATGAAATTTATATAATTTTTTCACACAAATAGAGCTTTCTTTTGGTAGTGTTTTATTGCCACTAGTTTTTTTTTTATTATATAAATAAAATAACTCGAATATTAAATTTTTTTTTTTACTTTCTGGTATAAAACATATCCTTTAGATAAGGGGTAGGCAACCTTAAGGGGGTGGAGATCTACCTGAACAACATGGGAGAAGTCAAAGATCACCGGGCACAGTGTCACCTCCTCACACCTGATTTGAACCTCTAATTGCTGTACTACCGCATCACAATAGTGTGCATTGCACGGCAATCATGGGTTTAAATCAGGTGATGAGGAGGCAACTTATCGCCTCCTCACCACCTGTCAAACACACTTGGATCACTTTTTAGAGGAGCAGCAGTGTCTGCTGCACTTGTGAATGAGCCCTTAGTAGCATTCGGCAGCAGCACTCTTAGGGATAGTTCACACGTACAGTAGGGGGGTGTTAAAACCCTGTGGTTGAGTCAAGGTCTTACTGCCCCAATCCCTACCCCCTTTAGCTGCTGAGGCAGCAGCCAAAGGTGTACACATGCCGCAGGAGGAATTAAACTCCCTGTTGCTTTTGGTGCTTGCTACTGCCTGCCATTTGCGAACAATTCTAATAAACAGGGCCACTCTGAAAGCACCCCACAAATGCATGCTTCAGTGAGGTCCAAGGGGTTAAAGCAGATGGTGACAAAGCAATACAACGCTGCCTGCTATAGCCCTTTGTTTGCTGTACTGCACAAGGTTGCAGGGAACTTTCACTTGAATGGTTCATGCTTGGCAGGTGCTACACCCACCAACCATGACAGGGCGTATAAGGGCTCTTTAACAGAGACGTTCCGATAGAGTCCACCTGCCCGTTTTTCTGGTGGACCCGATCAGAACCTCCATTCTCCTCTATGGAGTGGCGGTTAAGAACAGACATGTCTCGGTTTACAACCGCCAACATCTGATCCTATCTGCCAAAAAAGAGACGGATGGGGATCCAATTCCCCTTTTGTCCGTTGGCTGAAAATGGACAGGCAGTCTGTTTTCATCCGACCGTGTATTGAGGAGAGCGAGCAGCTCTGTGTCTACTCTGCAGCAACGGAGCAGACACAGAGCTGGCATCTGCTTGCTCAGCGGGGATCAGTAGAGAGATCCCCCGCTGACAAGTGGATCAGCTAAACAGGTCCGCCCTGTGTGAAAGGACCCTAACTCCCGCTACAGCTGTGACATGTGTACACCCCTGGCCACTGCAGATAAAGGGGGTGCGGTTGGAGCAGGGGTGGTAAAAACATGTCTTAACTATGGGGTTTTACCCGCCCCCCCCCCCCCCCCCCCCAAAAAAAAAAAATATTGTAAAAGTAAATTAACTTTATTGTTCTGAGCCCCATATAAAGGCAGCTGTAGAAGAAATCTGGAAGAGAGGGTATGGACACTGAATATGGTAAGTATCTATAGTTATAGCAACAACCTACAAATGAAATGAACTGTATAATATAGTTCGGATTGTATTTAGGTCCATATATTATTGCTGCACTAGAAGAGCAGGAGCTTGTCCAAACCTGCTGAGATGTTTGTAAAGTTTGGGGTTTCCTACCTAGACTAGCAGTCTATATTTCTTAGATCTGTGAGTCATTTTATAGAAGCCATTGAGATCTTCTCTATTAATCAGCATGACAGCTGCAGTTCCAAGATCCCATCTTGAGGGCCATAAAGCATATGTAGTGGCTATTTATAGACCTGCACACTGTAAACAAAGGAACCTATTAATAGCACAGTGGAAGTGAGGATGAAGTCACAAGCCCTTACAAAATTTCCCATGCTGAAATATGTACATCGTCAGTTACTTTCTTTTTTGTGTGTCCCAGCCAGTGCTGGACTGGCCATGTGGCACACCAGACACTTGCCCGGTGGGCCAGACTGCATGTCCTTGTGGGGTCCAAAGCAGCTGCGGCAGCTGGGCTGCCTCTTAAGGCCACGCCACCTGCCCAGCCACTCCGTGGCTGCCCATTCACTTCACAGCATGGCTGGGGGGCAGACACTAGACGTCAGCTGACCCATGACCAGCCTCTCCACAGCTGCCCATTCACTACGTAGCATCGCTGGGGAGCACAGACTGGGGGTCAGTCGACCTGTGATCAGCCTCTCCACGGCCATCTATTCACTTTGCAGCATGGCTGGGGCAGAGACTAAAGGTCAGCTGACCTGTGATCAGCCTCTCTGCGGCTGTTCTTTCACTTCACATCATGGCCGGGGGCGGAGACTAGAGGTCAGTAGACCTGTGATGACCATGAAGGGGGAGGAGCTGGAGGAGACCCCATCTCATGATCTCGGCATAGGTGTCACTGCTGCAGACACCAAGGAACAAAGTGAACACCACTGTCAGTGATAATCAACCAGCACTGCCAAAAATTTTACCCTCCCCCCAGCACTGCCACTAAATCCACCCACCCCCAGCACTGCCATTTAATCCCCCCCAGCACTGCTACTATTTCCACGCTCCTCCCTGCTCTTTCACAAATTCCACCCTCTCCCACAGCACTGTCACAAATTTCACCCTCCCCCCCCAGCACTGCTACTAAATTCACCCTCCCCCAGCACTGCCACTAATCCCCTACAGCACTATTGCTTATTCCATGCTCCTCCCAGCACTGTCACAAATTTCACCCTCCCCCAAGCACTTCCACTAATTTCACCCTCCCTCCCAACACTGCCGCTAATCCCCCCCCACTCAGCTCTGTCACTAATTCCACGCTCCTCCCAGCATTGCCACAAATTCCACCCTCCTCCCAGTATTGCTTCGAATTCCACCTTCCCCCCAGCACTGCCACTAATTACACCCTACCCAGCACTGCCGCTAAATCCACCCAGCACTGCCACTGATCCCCCTTCCCCGAGCACTGCCACTAATCTTATCCCACAACCAGCACTTCCATTCATTCCATCCCCCCCAGCACAGCAACTAATCCTCCCCCCAGCACTGTCCCTGGTCTTATCCTCCCCACTAGCTCAGCACTGTCACTCATTCCATCCCACCTCCCCCACCATTGCCACTGAACACCCCCCTCCAGCCCAGCAACCAATTGGTGAGCGGTAGTGATGTGCAGTAACCTCTAGCAATCACTGAGCAGTGATTGCAATCAATTAATGACTGAAGCAGGCTAAATATAACAATAAGACATTGAGAAATCGGTAGCTGTCATTATCTGTCATTTGGTTAAAAAAAAAGGGATGCTCAATCTAAAATGCCCGGGCCTATTTTATGTCCTAGTTGGGGCCTG